CCCTACTGTACCGTCAATTACTTACGATGAACTCCCGGGGCCATCTCCTGTTCATGGCACGATGGGAATCGGACTTGGGTATCATACTCACTGATGAGGAAATTCGAACTTCCTGCATGGTCACCCATAAGCTCTCAGTGGCTAGCTCGGCCCAGGAGAAGGGCTATAAAATCTTGACCCGTAGGTACCACAGCCCGAACCTTTTACATAAAATATTTCCCGATAGGTCTTCCTCCTGTTGGAGGTGTCTGAACGCAAAGGGCACACTCATACACATCTGGTGGAGCTGCCCACTACTAGCACCCCTGTGGACTCAGGTCTTCGCCATCTATAATCAGGTAATGGGAACCGACCTGACACCATCCCATAAAATAGCACTTCTCTCGATTTTGCCTGTCTGAATGGCTTCAGTTAAGGACCTACTTCATTTCTTCTTTGCTGCGGCACGCAACATTATCCCTCGCCATTGAAACACGGTGGTCACCCCGACCGTGCAGGAATGGATTGCCGAGTTGTGTTTGATCATGCGCTTTGAAGAGCTGACAGCCTCACTACATGAGCGTCAGGCACAATGTGCAGTATTATGGACCCCTTGGATTTTGTATATGGACACAGCGGCATTTCTGGCCTTGTAGATGGGACTGGGTCTCTCCTTCGGGAAGAGGACTCAGACACTGTATCTAGTACAACTACCTAAGGCCACTGCGGCCCCAACTGTGGATTGTGCGAGCTTTGCTGCAACCTCCCCTCTCCCATGTGTCTTTCCTGTAGTGTCCACCCCTGTCTGCCTCTCTTACCCCGGTCCTGTGTTGCGTGTACCCTTTCCCCACTCTTATTGTTGTTATATGTTGTCCTATATTGTCTAACCCGCTGGGATACGACACGGCCGTCGCATCTACTCGTCTGCCCTCTGTGAGAGCTGCATGGTACACGAAGCAGGGCACTTACCACTTGGTAAATGCGGATACCCCAATACCTACCTTTCCATACGAATAGAGTTTCTCAAATGTGGGAGCATATGCCTACATACCCAAGTTACATGTACTAAGAGATGGAAGGTAACTGCCAGAGATGATACTATGTGGATGTTTGGACGTGTCTGCCCTTTGTATCTCTGTATTTTTGTACTGTATGTACTGAAAACAAAAATACAATTTTATTATTTAAAAAAAAAACAACATAAAAGTTGAGGCTGCGTAGAATAAATAGATAACAAACATATCAGGACCCAAAATTGTCCATAGGTGTCAGTTTAGAGAAAGCTATGAATGATGGCCCAAAAATTATTGCTCACTCTGGTGTGTGTGGCGATAACAAACGTGTGATGCAATCATTTTCATACGTAGGGTCACACCAGACACATGCATTTACATTTGTATTTGCCTGTACATGGGGGCAAAAGCCTTGAAAAGGGGGAATAAAAGAAAAAAGAAAAACTGCCTTCTCTGAATTAAACCTGTGCTGTAATTTGGGCATTGTCATCGCCCCATTTAGTGCTTAAAGTCACTTTGCATTTAGTTTTCCTTTTTCAGTTGTGGATATTCTCTATCTGCAGTCAGAGCAGCATGCCTAGTAGGTCATTAATTACAGCCATCTCTTCAGTTCGCTACTCCTCACTATGGTAAGAATGATACCCTCCATAGTACACTTGTGGTTTTTGAGCTGGGCTTTAGCCCTCAAGTGTGGGGTTAAATAAAACTCGATGCAGTCAATTTATAAACTGTTCACACAGCAAACAGCTACACAAACAAGATACGCAGTGCATTATGGCCACTAGATAGAGGAAAGGAAATTCCTATGCTCCTTGGCTCCATCTAGTGGTCATGATGTGCTGGAAATCTCATTCACATAGCTCCTTGCTGTGCAAACAGTTTAAAAACCAACCCCTACGCGGAAAAGATCATTTCAACATGTTGTTTTTCGAGTATGCTAATTGCATAGAGGAAGCCGGTCACTAAAGGATTAAACATACGTTATCTCCTTTTACAAAAACTCACTTGCCTCGATAATGGACATCACTGAACATTTATATATGTACAAAGTAATCAGATGCAGGTTAGCCCCAGTTCTTCTAGTGTCCTGTTAAAATGTAAAGAAAGGGAGAACACACGCACACGTCGTAACGAGACAAAAGTTCATATGCATCTGAAAACAGATTTTCTTTAATTTTACATACAAATAGATTATAGTTATTTTGCAGTTTATACATGCAGTTTACCTTCTACAATTAAATTGCCAGTCTGCTTTTCTACTGTACAAAAAAACTTTAAAGCATATATATATATATAAATCTGTCATATAAAATCTGATGGGAGCCATGATCATTCTCGTTTTAGAGCTGTAAAAGATACAACAAAAAGAGAAACTCCGCATAATACAAACAAACCGTTAAAAAGGTGAAGTGATCTGTGTTTAAAATGGCCCTTGATAGAAAACTGCTGTCTTTTAATATTTGTTTCAGATGAGATCAGCTTGATACATTAGTGTGTGTGTTAAGAGAATTATGGCCTAACCTTTTTTTGGCCATAGTTCTCTTCAGGGTCACAAGAGGACATATACTAATGTCCTCTGGTGACCCAAAACCTAGTATATAGCAGGCTATTGCCCGCTATATGCTGAGAATGGAGAACCGTGCTGCAGCCAGGATGGATCCCAACCATACTGTTGAGATCCACCCCGCTGACTGACAACGAGGCAGAGCCAGCTGTGCCCGCCCCCAGGCAGCAATGGAGAGGGGAGGGATCCCCGCTGGGAGAGGTGACTGACATTTACCGCTCTCTGCAGGAAGAGGATCGGGAAGTCAGTGATCGGCAGTATGTGTTCGCTGACTTCCCGATCAATAGAGCAGACCTGTGACAGCTTCAGTGTCACAGGTTGGCCTAAATTATGGGGATGAGTGTTTTTCACTCGACCTATACTTATTCTGCTTTAAAGAAATCCACTGTGTTCCTTTTATTTTGTTTTAGATATACATACAAAAACAAATATTTTTTTTGTAAATCTCATTAAATGCGTTAATATTTGATATACATGTACATGGGAGCATCCATTTTTGCATTAAATGATGGCAACTGTGCTTCATGTTTAGTACTGCTACACAGCTTTACTGTCTTTGTCTAAATGTAACTTTTAAAGTCTGAGCAATTGACAATACCAGTCTATGTGGTCGCAGTTTTAAGTGTTGACCAGGAAGGCTGACTGATTTCCAAAACTAGAGTTGGCCAAAAATGCAAATCAAAAATAAAACAAAATATTGTATACCATACATGTAAAAATTAGTCACATAAAAAAATTACTTTAAACATAATCTATTCAATGAAAATGGCCATGGAATCAGCCATATTTGTGCTTCCAGGTTGTTCCCCATGCACAGTGACAACGTTCCTCTTTCAAAACAAAGCCACTGGTCAGTTTATTTGGCTAAATGGGATTTATCTTTCATGGCCATCTGTAAATCAGACAAATGCAACTGACATACTTTATATATTACTGCAGATAGGCGGTTACTGGATAGGAAATGTTGTTTCAATTAGTCTGAGCAGGCTGAAAGCTTTGTATCAAGAAAGGGATAGTACAGCAGAGAGCACCACATCCATGCACTACTAGTAGGCAGAAAGCAGTGACATTTATAATGTGCGTCAATCATACCTTCAAGTATAAAATAAAGAATGACACGGGATTCATGAAAAAAATCTAAAGCTGCCCATACACTAATATATTCTTTGTTCCACCTGCAGGCGGAAGAAAATACTACAGATTCCTCCATCAATGCTTACGAGCCTTGCTTGAGGAATCACCCACTGTTTGTATCGTATTGTGATGGCGGCCGCCGGTCGCTGTCCGAGTACCCGAACAGAGCTCATTGGCTGCTGGCTCTGTTCACTCAAAGATTTCCCGGTCGTCTCCTTAGATCAACTGATAGAGGGATGCCGGCCGAAAGAGTGCTAACCCACTGTGTGAATTTTCTTGATGAAACAGCCGAAAACTTTGTATAGTGTATGGCTAGCTTAACACACATCGATGCGGCTATTTATGTTAAGCTGATCAAAAGTAGCATACATAGCATGGGGGAAAAAAAAAAGTTGGACAGCCTAGAAGCAAATGGATTCTCAGAGCTGTAACACAGTGATAGAGATGACACTTTAAGATAATAAATGTAGAAGCAACACATGTTGTGAAGACCCTGGAAAGACCCAGAAGTGTGTTCCAACTCAGCCTTGACTTGCTGCTGGGCTCTGGAGATCCTATACCAAAGTCCTTTTTCTTTGTTCAGTAGTATACCATACTGCAGTTTACCTCAGTCATGTAACTGTCAAGAGAATGCTATATCCAGGCAAAAATTAGGGATGTCTGATTTATAGATGCCAGTGGACCTCCAACTAACAAATGTCAGAGCAAGAACCCCAAATCTGTTTAGCAAAATATCAATCTCTGTGCAACCACGAATGTCCAGTGCAACATACAATTAAACTTGAAAGGATTTGTCTTAATTGCATTCCTTATTTTTGAGTAAAAGGAAAACTCCAGGCACAAAAAAACAGAAGTAAAAATCTATTTACAGGTTTTGTTTTTGTTTGTTTTGGATACACCACCAGCTGGAGGGAAAATGTTTTGGACCACTGGTTGGAAATTAAGTCTGTTCTGGGCAAAATCCTATTTCTATGGCTTCCAGACAAGGCAACCATTAAAAACACAATGGGGGAATTATCAAAACTGGAGCAGACTAAATCTGGATCAGCTGTGCATGGCTACCAATCAGCTTCTCTCCTCAGTTAAGATTTGAAAATGAAAGAGGCTGATTGGTTCCCATGCACAGCTGCGGCAGATTTAGATAAATTCCCTTCAATGCATTTCCATACAGCAATAAACCTTCCCCAACGATCTGTGAAATTATGGTAATATATAAACTAAATTCAATTGCCCTCTACAATGTTTTTGGTTCTTACTAATGGGCTTTTAAAAAACCCAAGAGAATGCAAAAAAAAAAAAAAAAAGGAGACCAATATGTACAAGTTATCTTCACACGTTGTTAAGCTGGTTAGGCAGAACAGTACAACATTTTTTCATACTATGAATTGAAGCTAAAGTCCAGGCAAACAGCTAAATAGACAGTTGAAATATGCACATGTTAACCGTTTACCTGCAAGTCTTGCGGTCCAGGCACTGCCGCCAGATAGTACAGTCAAGTATTTGAACTGAATACACTTTTTAGTGAATCTATAACTGGATTTAAATAGTGGTTTCTGCCTGGAGTTCAACTTTAATTTGATAGTGTGATTTCTTTTCAATTCTACTATTCATGGTAATGGGATGATGCTGTGGTCCTTACTGCTAAAGACCATTCTTTATTGGAATAGGTGTTTGTTCCTTTCAGCCATTTACCAGGTTGTCAAAAACCAAGCAAGAGAAGGCATCCCATTAAAAAAATAAGAATGAAAAAAATGATAAAAGCAAAAACACGAGAAGGTCACATATCCACGATCCAAAATTCTTTCTTCAAAACTAAAAGAAATTAATCCTTTCTCCCCCCCAAAAAAAAATCACATCCCAATGTTCAAACCCAGCTGTAAATTGGTAGAGATTATGTAGGTGTTCATGAAGTGTTCCACTTCTGCTAGGTCAGGAAATAGACTAAGTTTGCTCATAAAAAATGTTTAAACGTAAAAAAAAAAAAAAAAAGTTTGAAAGAAGAATCACTCTGAATCACTGAAGTCACTTTGAATAAAAGCAGAACAGAGCAATTAGGAGAGTTGAATTTCAAAAACACAAACTATACAACACTCTGGTTACATTTTGACACTGTCATCTTTAATGATTAGACATTTTCAGCCCGTGTCAAATACCAAATCAAATCTAACATCTATTTACACACAAATAACATTTAAAAAAAAAGTAAAAAATCAGATTTTCCCACAATGACAATTTGCAAATAATATAATACGGTATATTTTAAAACCGATCGTTTACTTTTTTCTTTTTTTAAACAGTAGCTCATGAGAAACCAAGTTATAAAATTATTAGCTGGAAGCAGAATGTTGCAATGTTTGCCAATCAGAGTATCACGGTGTAAAAGATACATCACCACTACTTCAAACTTTCATGAACAGTCGCAGTAAAATTATCTAGACTGGCATGAAGAATCAAGAAGTTTAGATTAATTCGGAGATAAAAATACCTCAGAGATCCTTCAAAGCCATTTACAAAATATATCTTCCAAGGTTGCCAGACAAATGAGATCCCTGACCTGAAGCATGAACGCAGCTGATGGAATCTAAGGCCCCATTCACACTGAGCGACATACCTGTAGGAGCGTATCCGCAAGGCTAGGATAGCGTGACTTTCGGGGCGACGTTCCAGCGACGGTGGCGCGACCTTCACCGTCGGGCTGCATTAAAATGTAGAAAAATTGCCCGACATCCACCGAAAAAAGGGTCCAGCAGGTGCGACTTGCGACCGCGACGAGCAACGGGCGACATGGAGCTGTACATTAAGACAGCCCCATTGAAAATCATTGGCCGGCGACTTTTCGCAGCAAAAATACGCGATATTGGAGAGGAAATCGCGCGGCAATCCACTCAGTGTGAATGGGGCCTTAAGGTCTGGGCTGCATTGTTGTTCTAGGTCAGAAGGATCATCTCGGTTACCCTGGAGCAGGCATTTGGTAAGAAGGTTGAGTCTCAGATGAGATGGCCGCAAGATTACACTTTGGAAAGTTTAAATTAACATTAAAGTCAAATTTTTTCCCCCTCCCCCCCATGTTAATGTTAGCACTTACCTTAAATTATGTATTTTATTCCAATCTTCTTCTTTCCCCATGTTTTCATCTGTCCCTCCAGCGCTGACACCTCTGTCCTTGCTGGCACTTCCGATCCAGCGGTGTCTGAAAGCGGGTGCACACGTCCATAGACTTACCTTGCGCTTACAAGCCCCACATGTGATAGCAGATGGTGGTGACAGGTACTCTTTAAGGTGATGCTGGGGGTCCAAAAGACCCGCAGTGTCACCTTTACACTCCAAATAAGCTATTGAAGTGCAGATCGCACTTCAATAGCTTATAGCTGGGCTTCAGGAGCCCATCACTGGCATCTAAGGGACTGGAAGTGATGCAATCTACATCGTTTCTGGTCCCATAGAACGTGGAGGGGATCGACGAACGGAGGATCGTTCATCTCCTTCTTAGCTCCCCGCCGACACCAGAGAAGCCGGTCTCGCCAGAGTCGCTTCTATTGTTAAGCCAAGTCTAAACAGAGTCCCGGCGGCAAAAGCCTCCGGGAGTCTGTTTAAACAGCCCCGATGCCAGCGACGTACACTGTACAAGTTATATTTGTGACCTGACATTTGAAAAGGCATGCATATGACCCCACCAGGAATGACAGCCCACTCACTCCCAACTCCCCAGGCAGTTTTATTACACTTCCTTAGCACTGCCTTAAAACCCATTTATTTAAAAAAGCACTAGCTTTCTTTCTGGACAGTTCTCAGGCCCAGGTTTACATAGACTCTGCACAAGCTTCAGAACTTTATAATCTATCCTTGTGCTATTTGCCCTTATATAAACATCTGTGTCACAGGGACCAATCTATTATCGGTATTGAGACAGAGCCTGTTGGGATATATGTGTCATAATCTGTTATTACTATACAATACTCCTGGCTCTTTAAAATACAGAAATCTAGAATAGACTTTAATATCTATAGGCAAAACAGTGCAATTTGTATTACAGCCACTTCTGTGCCACATACAGATCAGGCAGTGGTTACTGGTTTCACAAATGAGAAATGATCTCCTCTAGGGCTTTGTACTAATAGCAAAAGCTTTTTTTTATAATCTTCCGAACGGGTTACAAAAAAGTTTACTTTAAATAATTAGCTCTGTATAAAGAGGTGGACTGCAATAGTCAATACTCCCTCTTCACTGGTAACCAATTGTCAATTAGCCAACACTGGTTTTAATTATGCTGTCATTGCCAGAACTCTGAACTATGTACGTGTTTTCTGTTATCTTTACTATGGTTGTAAAGTGGAGTAGGAAGGAAATAGGTTAGTTCTTAAGAGGATGCTTACAAGTGTCCATATTGGTTCTCATATTTGGAAACGATGTTCTTGCATTTGCCCAAATCTCTGCGTAGTTCCGCCACCTCTGTGCGAAGCGCAGTGTTTTCTTTTTCCAAGAAGGCTGCTCGCACAGTAATCTGGTTCTCTTTGAGTCGCCGTGCATCTCGGGATCGCTTAGCTGCCACGTTGTTCTTCTTACGTCTGTTCCAGTACTTCTCATCCTACATGAAAACACCATTATAATTAAGACTGGACGGAAATACAGGCTAAAGGATAATCCAGAATAAGCTAAATTTTAAAATATATTTAAAAAAAAAAAATGTGACTGTTATTTACCAAAATACACTTTTTTCCTGAGACTCCCAAAGAACTACTTTGTTTTATTAGCCAGCTAAGATTTCTCAAATGTCTGGCTTGGCACTAGTTGCAGGCAAAGCAGAGGGAGGTCTGGAGCTGGGAAACCTTTGGGGTCCATACGAAGATAAAGATCTTAATTTTTTAGTACATTGCTATCATACAGATTCCTTTCTTCAGTCATCTTTAAATTTGACCTAAACAAGTACAGACTGGGAGTCATATTTTGCTTTAGTCCTCTTTTGGGTCAGAGTACAGTACTTTAAGTATTGGCAAGCATGCATTTTACCTTCCCAGTACTGCTCACTAACTTGTAACAAAATAAAACTGCAATAGTGCCTCGATTAAGGTCACGTGTCTTGTAAAAGTTCCACCCGGGTATATGCGACAAGTATAGGAATTCACTATATGTGTCAGCACCATCTAGGAATGCTAGTGCCATATGAATGGCCTTAGTATGGCTTTAGGACAGGCAAAACATTTATAAATGAAACACTTTATGTTAAGTTTAAGAATGAAACATGACAGTAATTGAAGAAATTACTGTCCCTGGTGATCTTTTATCTAGTCTATCTTGTTCAGATGGCTCTTCACCTTTCCATGGTTGCCTACACCTGCTTTAATGATGGTGTTTGAATTACAAACAATAGAAGTGAATGGGACATGTACCTTCAGGTCATCCGGTACATATACTTTCTTTGCTTTCTTTATCATGGGCTGTGGCTTTAACTCCTCATCTGCAAATTTGTGTTTTCTAGGGTTAAATAGCTCCCCTCCTGGCACACTGGAAAGCACCAGATCTGTAGGGTCTGGATTGAAATTTACTTCCACCTCTATTTTCTCTGGATCAACGGGACTAGGAGGATCAATTTCTTCTTTCAGTGAGTCGTCTGCATTGGAAGAATATCCTGCAAAAATTAAAACTGATTAAAATCAGAGACAAAAAAGACAAAATAGATTATTATGGCACTTCATCTTACTACCCACACTTTAAAGTTGGTTTCCTCTGCATGGGTTATCGTGCTCAGATAAGTTAATTTTACAGCTAGGAACAGGCAGTTCTGTGTTTCGAGAACATCCACTGATAGCTCACGTTTTCTACTAATGACCGGGAAACAATCAGCAAAGTTCCCCAATCACATGATCACCATTTTCAGCTGACACAATGATTACATGGCCTTGTTCTTAAACAGTTGTCACGGACAGGGATTTTTTCGTTCCCTGGTGTAAGTAACCTTACCAATAAACTTCTCTTCTCTTGTCTCATGTTGGTCTGATAGAGTAAGTATGCGTGTATGGATCTTCTGTGTATGTCTTCTCTCATCTCAAAATCTAACCAGCTGTCCCAGTTCTTTCCCTGGACTAAAAAACACCCCCTCCATGTTGTAAAAATGAAAGGGTTGTGTTTTGTTGTTCAGCAAAAGACAGCTGGGCAGGGCAGACATCATTCCTGAGTTGCCCGCCTGCAACAGGAAATTAGGAGCCAAGTGCATTTCTGCCAGAACGACAAGTATTTTCCTGCACTAGCAGGATGTTTAAAGGACTAAAAACAGGGGGAAATGTGCATGCATCGCAAAGATGTACTGCAATATTTTGACATGCACATAACATACATAAAAAAATATACAAATGCTACCAAAGATAAGTGACACAGTACAAGCAATTCACATATAGCAATGAGATAAATACCTTCATATCAATTATCCTGGCACACTGGAAAGCACCAGATCTGTAGGGTCTGGATTGAAATTTACTTCCACCTCTATTTTCTCTGGATCAACGGGACTAGGAGGATCAATTTCTTCTTTCAGTGAGTCGTCTGCATTGGAAGAATAACCTGCAAAAATTAAAACTGATTAATAAAAGTGCCAGAATCCCTGAAGTCTAGATACCCAGATTCGTTCGCCTTGTTGCGCGCATGCCAACCTGCTAATTTGGTAGGCGAGTTTCCTCTTTAGTTACTCAATTATTACAATGACTATGGTTTTTGTGCAACATATTTTTATTGATTTTTTTTCAATCACATAGATATTCTCCATCTCCTGAGGAAGCGCCCTCCAGCGCGAAACGTCGAGAAACTCTATGACACCTCCACTCTCATTATTTGCAAACCAATCATGTGTATTTTCTAATCATGTCATACTATTTTACAATCAATCATGTAATTATTGATCCAATTTTATGAGTGGAGTTAGTCTGTCTAGGAGATATCCAATTAGCCGGCTTTCACATACGAATTTCTACATCATTTTTAATCATTATTTAATAAAATAACTTTTTTATTCCCAAACTGTCTTGGAATTGTCAATTGGCACCTCAAAAGCCCCAACTTTATCTTTCCTCTTTTTGACCAGTATTACTTTCAGGGGTGTGGTGCCTTATACTCTGGTCTGGGCCATCAATGTAATTATATTATTAGATACCCAAGTAATATACTACGGAAAACTCTGATAAACATTAGAGTGGGAATATTCTGCTGTCCTGGAAGACTCTTGGGAAAGACGTTACCAGATAACCAATTTCGGTTTTCCATAATCATCTTCCAGGAACAGTACATGAGGATAATTGAGCAACTGACCTTGTTAGGGTTGGACTACTGCTTGCAGGACCTTCCTGACAAACACTCTGTCCTGACTGAACAACAGGTCTATACCGTAGCATTTGAAAAATATATGGAAACTTGTCAATGCGGAGACTTAAAATCTGCCCCTTTCTCCATCAAGAAGCAACTAAAGCTCTCATAGAACGTACCTGAATGTATTTCAGCAACCTCTAACAGTGAGAAGTGTAAGCCTCTTCAACAGTGCACTGGATTCATCTGGCTTTGGAGCCTTTGCATGGTTTGTTGCCCTTTTATGGCCGCTGTTTGCAAACCAAATACGTTTTTCCACTTCCTCCACCCCTTGATGGCTTCCAGATAAGCCTAACACTGCTTTACTTACATCTAAGCAATTAAACTCTCTTTCATTTAAAGAAGAACTTCAGGAATTAAAACCTACCCACGCACTGCAAGGGTTAACTGCTCCTTTTTCTCTTGGGGCTGGAATACAGAAGATATGCTCACCTGATCCTCAGTCCTGTGGTGGTCAGCATTCACCTCTCTCCCCCTCCTCATTCTCACACCACTGGAGCCTGGGGGAGAAGAGGCTTCAGGGACCAGTCTAGCAGCATCCTCAGCCCTGTGGTGGTCAGCATTCACCTCTCTCCCCCTCCTCATTCTCACACCACTGGAGCCTGGGGGAGAAGAGGCTTCAGGGACCAGTCTAGCAGCATCCTCAGCCCTGTGGTGGTCAGCATTCACCTCTCTCCCCCTCCTCATTCTCACACCACTGGAGCCTGGGGGAGAAGAGGCTTCAGGGACCAGCCTAGCAGCATCCTCAGCCCTGTGGTGGTCAGCATTCAGCTCTCTCCCCCTCCTCATTCTCACACCACTGGACCCTGGGGGAGAAGAGGCTTCAGGGACCAGTCTAGCAGCATTCTCAGTCCTGTGGTGGTCAGCATTCACCTCTCTCCCCCTCCTCATTCTCACACCACTGGACCCTGGGGGAGAAGAGGCTTCAGGGACCAGTCTAGCAGCCAGGCAGGATAGAGAATAAGGCGAGTGTCTTTTATCCAGCCCCTAGACTAAAACAAGCAGTTAGCCCTTGCAGTGCAGGGATGAACCCACTGCAAGGGTTAACTTTAATTTCTGAAGTTCTTCTTTAATGGGTCATTGCAGAAATACAGGATTACTATATCCTGTGACCTATGGAAAGTAAACCTGGATCTACTTTCAGAATAATTCTGTCTGGGGGGGAAAAGGACTTTTCCTACTGAACATGAAGGTTTCTATGTTCTTATTAGATAAATGTTGTGATTTCAGGTACCAGGTTTTTAGTTTTAAATTGTTGTACTTCGGGATTCCGCACTGGTCCCTGGTGGATAAGATGAGGAATATTCGGCAACATCCAGGATGGGCATATGTGGACTATATGGAGAACACCGAACCAACGCCTTTGTGGCCAGAAAGGAGTGATCAGGATTACTCTATGTCGGTCCAAACCTTCTACACTACTTTGGACAGTAGTGGGAGTGGGGGGAATGCATAGGCTGGGAATACGCACCTACTCCATCTTGCTCCTCCAAGTGAGAAGAAATTCTCTAGATGCGCATTGTTCATGTTTGCAAACAGATCTATGCATGGTTCCCCGATGTTTCTAATGGGTTAGTGTTACACTTGGCTAGCCTCTATTTGTGGGTTGAGACACCCCGCAAGCATTCCAAGGAACGATGGTACCCTTCAGTGAGATGATTATATTGACCTGTATTTCTTCTGGATGTCTATTGCAGTTGTTTTCTTTATGGTACATGTTCCTGTATGGCTGCTTCTTTTGTTGAGGAAACTTTCCCGATGACAATAGTTATCAGGACAGTTAGACAGAATGAACCCCCTAATGGAGGACATGGACAGTGGTCAGCCCTATTCAAAAAAAAAAACAAACAAAAAAATTTGCTTTGTGTTATGCTTTAAGTGCCGCAGCACATTTTCTTTTAACAGGAAAACAAACTTAAAAAATAAACTGCTAGAGAGTAGAGTTTTTGTCAGAACAGAAATGCAAAGTCTTTTCTGCCAAAAAAACGGACGATTCTGACCTCTTGCAGTTTTTTTTCCATATGAACTGCAGGACGAATGCATACAGCGCTCCACGTAAAATACAGGACTGCTGATCCTGCACTGTATGCAAGGATGTCGCAGAGGAAACCGCGGCAGAACCAGCTTTATGGGAACAGTCAAACACTAGGCACGAGAAGGGAAGTATTTTTCTGTCTTATACACACCCCTAAGGCCTGGTTCACACCTGGGCGTTTAACTGCGCGTAGAGATGCGCTGTAAAACGCTCAGCATGTGAAAACCAATATCTGCCTATCGGTATAGTTCCCACTTGGGCGTATTTCAGCGCGTAGGAACGCGCTGAAAAACGCCCTACGCCCAAGGTAGTACAGGAGCTTCTTTGGGGCATATTTTCCACGCGTATCCATTAGGATACAGCCGGACAGACCTCGTAAACGCGCGTTTGTCGCGCGTTTCTTTTACCGCAAGTCGCGGCCGAAATGCGCAGCAATTGCGCATATTCCGTGCGCCCAGGTGTGAACCCAGCCTTAGACTGAAGGAGCTTTTTAGAACGTTAATAGAGAAGGGGGGCTACTAATGACCGTTTACACAGCTGCCAAAACTTTAGCTTTAACAGTTCTTTTTAACAGTCTCAAACAGCTTTCCTGTACAACTCAACAGACAAGACACAAGCTAAAGGTGGCCATACACTTTACAACCATCGCAAGACCTTAGTCTTACGATGGTTGTAAAGTAATTAAAAAAACGTACAATCTGCCCATCTTGGACAGGCAGATCGTACTTGTGATCATCGCAAGCCTTCTGATGACTTCTGATGACCGCAATGCTGAACGGGCAGTGTGCGCGTGCGCACACCGGCCCGTTCGGCATTTGTCTCCCGAGCATCATTCGAACCAGCCGAAAATCGTAAGATTTTCGGCTGGTTTTCTAGCATGCTCCTTAGACAAAAGATGTGCTTCATTCACACTGCACGATTAGTGTATGATCGCGGGACTTCCCGCGATTCTTGTACGAGAATCGTGCAGTGTATGGGCACCTTTAGCTTCAGAGCTTCTGATCACACGGAAAAGAATATTCATTTGCTTAACCACTACATGGGGATGTATGCTTTAGAGGATATAGGTTAGAATTTAATTGAAATGCTCTTTAAAAAAATAGGTCTCCGACAAGATATCGTGGTATGAGGGATTAGAAAATACATTTGTATAGCTTAACTATCAATAAAAACCCTTGAGCAAAATCACCTTCGTTTTCAGATATTTGTAGTAAACCCGATGGTGACACAGGAGGGGGAGAAGTAGAAGCCGTCTCCTCTTCATCTTCTAGCTCAGCAACTGGCATAAGTGGGTTCTGAATTGCCTGGGCAAGCCGTTTTGGGCTGGATGGGATACCATTCTCCAATAGGAATTCATCAAGGTCCATGTACTCCAAGTGGAAAGATTCGCCATCATAAGGAATGGTCTTATCCCAAATAGGTGGCATGAGTGCAGCGGAAACAGACAATGAATTTTCATCAAGGCTGTCATCTTTGTCCAATTTGATCTTGTCTTTTTCTAGAAAACAAGTTAAAAACACATATATGAATATATTTTTTTTTTAAAAAGGAAAAAGCTACTGAACAAATTGCAAAACGTAACTAAAATCTGTTTTCTATGGAAACGCTATAATAAACTATCTTGCTTTAAGATTAAGTGCACTTTAAGAAAGGAATTGGAACCCCCTTTACCCCAATCTCAGATTGACCAATAGCAGTAAAGACCTCAGGCACACAAATCCAGCTTCTCACTGTACACTAACTTACATGCATTTGTGTTCCACCATCATCTAAAATGGTCACCAGTGCACCAGGCGTGGCTAAAGACAGTCAATCATTCCAGACACATAGGCAATGGCTCTCAAATGACAAGCCTGACACATGCGTGTTGATTTCAGAGATGGATGAAGCAGCAAAGGACATAAACATGATAGCAACAGACCTGAACAGACTGAGGAATAAAGCTCAGATTTGTCTACATGTGAGGTCTGTACCTTTATGGTGAATTTGAGGAGAGAAGGAAAGGAAACCTTTACCATAAAAGTATGCATACTCTTTCTTTGCCTAACCTGCAGAAAATGGCACTAGGCATCTGGCCGTCTGGGGACACAGATTTTCCAACTCTTGCAAACAGAAGGCATATTCATCCTTATACAGACAAAGGCTATGAACAAATAACTAGATTTCTAATATTTCAAAGTATACAACTTTTCCTTTGTATAATTATTCTTAAAATTCCTAACTATATTCAGCAGTCCACTTTCGCTGCCAGATCCAGTGTGTGGCTTCAATTGGAGGCCGATTTCTCGCTGGGACACAAGTGACATCTTCAACATTACAGTATAATCCTCCTTTACACAAGGTCAATTATCAGTGATTAAAAAAATAAATACAATTATGATATCCTTTGGATATCACAACCTAGCATATAAAACACAACAAGCAATTTAAAGTGGCACCCTAGAAAAGAAAGGGGAAAAAAACAAAAATCAGTTTTCACATCATAATGTAATTCAGCTACCTCTCATGCTTAATATCCTACGCCCGCCTTGTAACCAACATGATTGCCCCCCATCCAAAATACCTTGCATTCAGTGAAAAGAAAAAGCTTCTTGTGAATGGATAAGAAACAGGTCGCACAGATCAAGGCGATTATCTGTGTGACCTATTACAGGGTTAGATAGTCCATGGGTACCAGGGTCACGCATAATAAGGGATTTTAAACAATCCTTAAATCGCAATCATGTCCATTAATAAGCTACTGGTTTTATACGAAAATAGTGTGCTAGAGAAAATATTATGGGAGGAATTTAGCGAAACTGGAGCAGACAGAATCTGCAGTAATTGCCCATACTAACCAATCAGTTTCTCTTCAGTTTGCTCAGTTAAGCTTTAAAATTGAAAGAGAAACTGGTTACTATGGACAACTGCTCCAGATTCTGTCTGCTCGTTTTGATAAATCCCCGACGCGGATCCCGACAATTATGTCTGGATCCGCCCAGCTGCGTGAGTGACAGCTGGCTGTACCCGCCCCCTCCCCTGTCCGTTCCGCCAGTCAGCGCTGGAGGATCGGAGCGGGCAGGGGGGAATCCAGTCCCTCCCCGGTATGGCAGACATTGACCACTCTGAAAACTTTACAGACAGGTGCCATGCACAGCCTACAGGTATATTTGCGTAGCGTAAACAAATGCACAAAAACAGAATGGAACCAAGATGCGTCTGGGCAGCGTATTTTACGCGCATGCGCATGTTTACGCATACATACGCATGTTTACGTGTACATACGCGCGTACAGTTCATTAAATTTCTATTAGGAATGATGCATTCTGGGAATGCAAATCGTGCACGCATATACGCTCATATATGCGCGTATATACGCAATATACAATTTTGCTCGAGTTGTGTGTGAATAAGGCCTTAGGGTACTTGAATGCATTTTTAAGATTTAACTCCCGAGTTTAGTGTCACTATAAAAACAAAGGTAAACTATGCCTTGGTAATAACACTGCGGCGGCACCACTACACCCGACTGCCAACCAGCGGACACTAGCCGCACACTAAACCGGGTGCAGGCTGGTGTCCGCTGTGTAACAGCAATGCTTTGCATTGTTACAACGTAAGTCAGTGTATACATTTTTATTGAAATGACATTTCATTCACGTCTATGCACCATGGCAGAGTTTTGGTAACAGTCAGTGACGTGAAATTTGGTGCAAAATAGGCAGCGTTCAGGTGCGAACAGGGTGAACTGTTTCCTAAATGGCCCGCCATTGAGCCTGTGAAAATCTGATTGGCACAGCTCTACAGATGTGATGTGAATGAGCCCCAAAGCATCCTGTAGTGTATGGAAGGGGCTGCAACTTACAAGGCCAACAGAACAGACGAATGAAGGGACACCGACACTTCATATAATCACCATTCTGCTGCTAGATATAGGGTCTGAACTAGCCTGACTGGAACCTAACAAGTCCACCAATTCTAGTCTCTACAGGAAACCTTGTGCACCCCTCCCTTCGCTCCTACTAGAAGGAATGTGGGTTATGGCCGATGGCAGCTGAGGCAGGAGGCGCCATGGCCGCTTACTTCTCCTCACCCACTTCTCCTGTATCCAGAAAGTTCTTCGGAGGGTTCTCTATGAGTTTCATCAGCACAAGGGGGAAGGACTGGCCCAGAAGAGACACGGGAGAGGCCGGAGAGGTAGAGGCCTCGACTTCAGGCTGAGGATCGGACATCGTGATACCAATAACACCGAATAATTAGACAGGCTGAATTGAAGAGTGTAGAGCTCCGCTAAATTATTCATAAGCTCCTAACGCTGATTGGTCAGCCGGCAGCTTCTATGCAGACGAGGTTCTTGCTTCACTTTCTCGGCCAACCGGCCAGCGGCCAGGCTCAATGACGTAGGCGGGAGGGGTGGCTCCTAGTTGCCATTACTATGTAAACCAGCACTAAAGGCGCAGTCTCCGAATAAGAATATTCACTGACAGGCAGCTCATTGGATCGGGCAGCTTTCACTTAATTGCATAAGGTATAGCCAGCGATCTGATTCGTCGGCGCTCTGCCTTACGCAACGCAACTCACGCCCCGCAGTCACAAGACTCCACAAGCGAGGTCACGTTTTGGATTTATCGTCATGAGGAGGCGGAGACAATAGGGGTGTATATACATTTGCTGCCCGTGATTGGCGAACAATGGGAATATCGCCGCCCATAGTTTACCTCTCCGAGCTGTCACAGGGCTGCAGCACGTGTTGGGAAGATTAGAGTCAGGTGATGGGGGATGAGTTACTGTCTGATTGTATCTTCATTCTAGTTGTGCTGGTCTCTGCAAACATAGGATTACTGGTACAAATGTACATACATTATAGAATAAACAGATATGCATGGCCTAATCACTCTACATAGCCACAATGAAATGTAAAATCCCCAAGTCCGTATTCACACCCGAGTATTTGTGAATGCGCGTCAAATGCGTACAAAATGCACACTTTGAGGTGTTTGCAAAACTCATGAAAAACGCACCTGCTGTGCCAGGACCAGCTAATGGCACCCAAACATGGCCAGGAAGACACATGTTTTTCCCTACTAAAATGTGCAGAAACGCAACGGAAAAAACGAAAAACCCGTTTTGCAACATGCACTACTTTTCCACGTTGTCGTAAATCAACATGTGTTCCCACTACGCTCAGGCGTGAATGGAGACTAAAATTTGTATGGAAACTAGATAACAAATCATACTAGTCCAAGAGGTCCAGCATCGTCTTCCCAGCAGGTGACGTTCTTATGCAACTTAGCGCCTGTGCCGCCATCTTAAAATGAGATCCGACACATGCCAGTCACGCCTGGGGTCCCTGCAAGGTCTATGCGTCTGCAGCGTTTCTGTGCATGCAACAGATTCCCATGCATGTGCACACGGGCTAGGGTTACCACCTGTCCAGGGTTCACCCGGACAGTCCAGGGTTTGAATGCTGTGTCCGGGTTTCATGGCAGCCGAGACCCGGACACATGTCAGGCAGACAGTGGCAACCAAAATTAAGATAGGGGCTACTGGGGGGCGTGGCTTACGCATGGCGCTGGACGGTCGCACTTAAGCAGAGCTCCCACCTCAGCCCGCAAAAAACTGCCGTAATAGGACACACTTTTCACCTGACTTGCTATCCATCTGACCTCAAACATGGGAAGGAGAAGCCAACGCTCCTCCGGCTCGAAAAAGGCGACCTCCGGTACCTTAAAACGGTACTTAATCGCGGACACGAGATCTACTCAGGCCTCCACGCGGCCTACCACGCGGCAGGCGCCGGCAGATAGATCCGAGGCCCATACTCTCCCGGCCACGCCACAGTCCCCGGGCTCTCCGGGCTCCGACAGCGATTCGGAAGCCTCCTCCCCGGCTACGCTACAGACAGACCTGCAGGTGCCAGATGCCATGAGAGACCTTCCAACGAAGGCGGACCTGGCTCACATGTTCCAGAGGATTTGCATGCCTGCCGTGTGGGTACGAGTTAGTAACGGCTATTCCATCGGCTGTTACCGAATTGCTATTACTGTTGTTTATATGTTCTTCTTGTCTCCCTGTATGTCTATGTCCCCCTCCTACCCACCCTCCCCATCACCTCCCCCATGATTGTACTTCGGATAGATGTAGGAATATCGCTGTATTTCATATTGTGCTGTGCCCAGAGGGTACTCCTGACTCACCATGGCAACCGTAAATTTGACCTCTTATAATGTGAGAGGCCTGAACACCCCCACCAAACGACACCAGGTCTTAAAGGAACTGCATAGACTATCTAGCGACATAGTATTTCTCCAGGAGACGCATCTCTCACATAGTACCAACACGCGACTGTCCTCTTATCGCTACCCAACATGGTATACTCTATGGCGGATTGTATCCCAATGTATGTGTGTATCCGTATTTGTACCCCCTGTAATTTGTACGTTTATATGCAAACTCCTTTCAATAAAAACTTATTATACAAAAAAAAAAAGATAGGGGCTACTGGCCCCCCACTGAAAATAGTCTTGACTGATATTTACATATTAATGTGTGGCACCTATTTACATATAAATAAGCCAGGACTCATTTTTTTTTAAAGAATTCCGTGAGTCGCAAGAGTGTTCGGGTTTGGCTGAAAGAAAAGGTGACAACCCTAAGGGGGCCCACATACCTTACGATAATCGTAAGGTGTGTGGAAGCCATGCGACCTCTACTACTGTAAGGTCGCACGACTTTTAACTTACGAACATGTTCGAAAACCCGCCGAGCATTGTACGATGTTCGGCGGGTGTGTAGCAGGTTCGTAAGATAAATGCCGGACGGGCCAGTGTGCGCAAGCGCACCCTGCCCGTGCGGCATTGTGGTCATCGGAAGCCCGCCCCTCAGGGGGGCGAGGCTTGCGATCATCGCAAGTACGATCTGCCTGTCCAAGATGGGCAGATCGTACGTTTTTTTAATTACCTTACAACCATCGCAAGACAAAAGTCTTGCGATGGTTGTAAGGTGTGTGTGCCCAGCATAACACAGGCGCTGTTCTCTGCCAGGTGTATAAGATCTGGTAGAGACCTGCAGTGTGTCTGTGCATGTGCAGAGTTCACATGTGGGTGGGCATGCCACGCGTCTGCCAGAGACTAGTGGCGTATCAGCACACACAACATATGGCAAGCTGCATCCTGGAATGTGTAATGTATTCATCCCAGGAGACAACGGAACACAGCAGCTGGGGTATTCCCGGGCACATTTTACACTGTATGCCTGTATTTGCCCCCCATGGGAATAAGCCCTAAAAGCGAGGGTAGAGGGTTAAGTGAGAGGATGTTATTTTTCTGGGTGAAGGTTCACTTTACTATCTCCAATACAATAAGAATCTTCTCTACAAACGTTGTGTACATATCACTTTCCTTGTAGCATGTTTATCAGGCTTGACAGACATATCTGTATAAAAAAATGAAGGAATCAGGACAGAAAGGATTGCAATGTGAGTGTCATGTAGGATGTGGTGAACCTGATGACCCATTGCGTGCACACAGCACATCACTAACGCTCCATGCACCCCAGATAAACCTGACCTTTTTAAAGACAACCCGGCCTGCTAGCAAACGTGGGTCAGATCACATGTACATATATAAACACAATCACAAAATCCCATATGATCTTTAAAGCTTAACTCCAGGCACTAAAACCAATGGCGTCACAAGAGGGGTGTGGCCTGCACCGGGTGACACATCAAAGTGACTGACAGTCATTTTGGTGTCACCACCTCTGAAAAGGTGGGCACTCGGTCATGGACAGCTGCACGAGAGAGGAGGGAACCCGGCAGCATTCCTTATCCTGACAGATAAAGGTCCTCTCTTTACCGGCATTTATCACCAAGTTGGCCGCTGGCAGTGAAGTGCACATGACACTGCCTGATGATGCCCCTGACTAAAATTACTCCTTAGATACCACACAATATATCAATCCATTTTGTGTGCACTAAATGCATTTGTGAACCGAGATATTACCTTGTTAAAGTAGCGGTGACATCATCACTGTGCTGCACAAAGCTGTGGGAAGGACCCAGCAGGCTCCACCCACCACAGACTGTCCTTATGTTTGTCTGGACCTGGCCAGAGTTGGGGGTAACCGGATGTAAACGAATGCCCATCCCGTTTAGATACAGCTGCCCATAGACTAACATTGGGCTTTCGATCAGGTCCGCCTGATAAAGTATCAGGCGGACCTGATCGGAAAGCCCGTGCAAAAGGGCTCCTATTTGTGATCCTGCTCTGTCACCTTGTCACATGCTCTTCCGATAAAGCCTACATGCTGCTGTTTTTTAACACATTACTACACAGGTCCACTGTTGTCACTAGCAGGAATCCCGCCTCAATATGCCATGCAGCTTTCACAGGACGGACACTGTAAAAGGCTGCAGGAGATCAGTTAACCGATACCGATAAGCAACAAAGAATTAAAAAAAAAAAAAGTTTTATTAAAATGAAGGACAGTTGTTTATGATACACAGTGCTTTAGCAAACTAAATCAAGGAGGGATCAGAGAGATGGCCACAAACCAATCAAATATCAGAGTTCATTAAAAAAAAGTTTAATGTTTAATATTTGATTACATCAATATAACTATATTGATGTGATTACATTTTACACATGAATCTTTTTTATTATAGATACCTGTACATCTCTATGACTGGATACTGCTACATGGAGACCCGGATATATACATCTAGTATGGATGCACGCTCTTGGACGCAGACAGTCTGTGAACAAGGGTAAGTGTGGGTCAGTATGGAGCCGGGTCCTCTCATAGATATGTACAGGCAGCTGCATGCGGCTACACACAGCACCTCTCCTTCCAAGGCGAAGGTCTAAGCGCGGCTGTGCCCAGCAATAACAATGTAACAGAGGCCCTTTTAATACGAATAAGATAAAGTTTTACTGGAGTTGAACTTTGTTCCCGCACTTCCATATCTTGGTAAAAACACTAAGACACGGACTAGGTAAGCAGTAACTTGAATTGCTTCCCACAGATGAGCTGGCTGGAAAATGATAGAACCAAGAGAAAGCATTCAAAGTTTTTCTCTGTGACACAGTAAGGTGTTTTCCTATTTGGTCATCTTACCGGTTACATAAGCAATACAATTAATGATGGGTTATACGGCACAGGTAGAGCGAGGGAACATTCATACATTTGCTTCAGTATACTGATTACAAATCTTCTATAGCGATCTCTAAATATTGCATCTTTCTATATCCAGCTGCCCTGATAGAACTGCTGATGAAATGATATAATACCACAATGTCCTACACATAATCCCTTTCAAGAGATTCATACTGGGCCTGCCAAGACTAAAATGTTGAAGTCTTCTGACTTCCTACTGCTCTACTTCGGGCT